AACTCCAGCGAGATCATTGACCCGGTCAGCCTCAGAAGGGACACACACGCAACCTCCCCTCTGGAGGGTAGTAAACATCTCTTCGAGTGAGTTATCGAATGTGTAAGAGGCGAACTGCAGCATGCGCGAGTTATGGTCCAGACCAATCTTTGTTCCGTGTGCTTCAGCACTGGTGACGATAGCAGAATGCTCGAGGACCACTCCCTTGGGTCTTCCAGTGCTACCACTGGTGAAGATGACGAAGACTGGATGATGCGGCTGTACACCGGTGTAGATTGGGCCTCGAACTGCTGGAAGACTTTGTAATAGCGAGTCATCTACAACAATCACCTTGTCTATGAGTCCTTCAAATTTTTCGGCGCGGACAGCTGTCGTCAGAACAATCTTCGAGTCAGCGTCCTCAAGACGTGTCTGCAAGGCGTTCGCAGGATGCGTAGCGTCAAGAGGAATAGCAGCGCCACCTGCCTTGATAACGGATAGCATCGCGATGATAGCAAACATGCTTTTATCAAAACATGTTGGTACAAATGTCTCGGGCGCGACGCCTAGCTGGACGAGATGATGTGCTAATCGATCGGTAACGACGTCCAACTCAGCGTACGTATACTCTCCGTCATGTGCACATATTGCCTGAGCGTCGGGCTGGCGGGTAGCCCATTGAGAAAATCTGTCGTGTACACATTCATTGATGGTTGCTGGCATGATGTTCCAGTCGTGGATTCGCTGAAGATGTTTTGGGCTGATATGTTCCAGAGTTGAAATGCGTCGCTTCGCATGGAAAACAATATTTTCCAAAGCTCGAACAAAAGTGTCAGCGACGTTTGTAGCTTGAACCGCAGTGAGGTGATCCGTCCAATAATCGAGATCGATTGCTGCGCTGTCCTCACCAACTTCAATATTAATACTGACCGGATACCTAGGCATAATGTTAGTAAAGGAATGGCGGAGTTGTTTGTTTGAGACTTAGATCTTCAATCTGTAACTTACTCAGTCGGGTCATAGATTGGGCGAACTTCCTGTAAGCGGACTCCGGAAAGATCGACAGCCTGTTCCTGATGCAAGCGACGGTACGACAGCGCGGTGTTGAACAAGTTCGCGCCTGACAATTGGAGGGCATGTTGAACATCAGCAAGTGCGGTGTGACGATGTGGGAGAGCCTCCATGTAGTCTCTTTGAACGTCTTGTAACACATCGAGCAGACATCGGGATCCATCGGAAAAGTTTACCCTACAGACCAGAGTATTGATCAATGGACCGACGATGCTCTCCACGTTTTCAATTTCTTCCGAATCTCTTGCAGATGTCAGGTATCCAAACGTGACATCATCGCTACCAATATAGCAACTAAGCGTAAGCGCCCATGCAGTGTGAAAGACATTTGACAGCGTGATACCGTTGGCGTTGCAGAAGGATTGGAAGTCGGGCAAGCTGATGCTAGACAGATCCATACGAATCGTGACGAGCTTCTTTTCCAGGACCTGGCCTTGTCCATCGTCAAGAACGGGAAATGAAGAGATCTCACTACCATGTAAGTAGGACTTCCAGAAGTCCAGGCTGGCTTCTGCTGGCTGCCGGGTAAGCCACGCAATGTATGCGCTGAGCGGAGTACAGTGCAGTGTAAGTTGTCCCTGACATGCTGTCCTCAACTCACTAATAAGTAAGCTCATAGAATGCCCATCCATGATCGCATGGCTAATATCCAGGGAGCAAAATATCCTTCCGTCGGCCGTTTCACATATTGTTAGGCGATGGTTTGGGCATTGACCGTCATTGTAAGATATGGATCGCTGCTGCTCAATGATTCTGATAGCATCATGTTCATCTGCAGCCTCAAGGCAGACAATGTTGGCCTCAATGTTCTTGAGGACAATCTGGTTGTAGAGACCCTTAACACCCACATTCTCGGCGAAAACAGTTCGCAACGCTGGATGACGCTTGACAACCTGTTGCCAAGCCTCGGCAACAGTCTTCCAAGACATCTGGGACTCTGGCGCTAAAACTTCATGAAGTGTAGCAGCAGCATAGTACCCAGCATCTTTAGTCTGTGATAGTAATAGACCTTCCTGCATGCTGGAGCAGGGATATATGTCTTCTACTTCGGTGTCAGGAATTCCCATGGTCGAAAGTCTATCAAGAATGGAGTTGAAGCTTTCTTCGGTCAGAGACAAAAGCGGAAAATCGCTAAGCGTTGGCTTTGGCTCCAACACATTGAGTCCGCGGATCATGTTTGAAATGGTTGCTTCGCACTCTGAAACCCATCTCAGAACATGTGCCTGATGGAGCATATCCCGGTTGAAAGTAAATGCAACCTTGAGACGGCCTTTGAAGACAAAGGCGGAGATTTCGAAAAGTCCCCATCTGCAAGTACTATGGCCAAAGTCAGAAGTACCGCCAGCTTTACCAGTCTCACCAGCCATCTTGCCCACTGGCTGAAGAAGAGCGTCTGCTCTTTCAAGTTGCTAACAACCATGTTAGTGGAATAGCGACAATGAATGAGACTTTCGACATACCTGATATTGGCCAAGATAATTGAACAAGATCTCCATTGGCCAGTGGGACTTGAAGTGTTCGCGGCCATCCTCGGTGAGGCATCGACGTGCAAAGTATGGCCGACCGTTGCCAGGAATCCGGCGTTTGAAATCTTTTATCTTACGGACTGTATCTGTGAGTTTCTCGGATGGCGTCACGAGGATGGGTGACAAAGCAGTGAACCATCCCACCGTACGAGTGATATCGATACTGGAGTCCCATGGCTCGCGGCCATGGCCTTCATTGAATATCGCGGGAATTGGTCGGTCAGTGAAAACTAGAGACCAAGATTGAATCAGAGACGCAAGCAAGACTTCAACCGGCTCCGTCTTATAGGCATTGTGGCAAGTCGTGAGAAATGCCGAGCTGAGCTCGTTGTCAAGCTCAAAGCTGGCATGGCTTGCATTGCCGTAGGTGTTATCCTGGTGCTGGATGCCCCAATATGAGAAGTCCATGTGTGGGACATCGACTTCGGGAAGAATTTCATTGAGCTCCAGAGACTCTGCATGCTCCTGTTGCAGTTCCGCCCATTTCTGGAATGGAAGTGCTGGCGCCAAGAGCTGCCCACCTTTCAAAATTTCTTCGAGCTCTTCCAACAGCAGTCGCCACGTGACTAGATCAACAACGAGATGATGGCCAGTGAGAAACGCAAATTGCTGAGTTCCGTAATCAAAGAACTCGGCGGCGAACAGTGGCCCAGCGGCATGATCAAGGCATTGCTGCGTATCCTCAATGGAGGCGTCTATCGTGGCTTGGGAGGTAACAGTAGAATGGCGGAAGCGATAAGACCCTTCAATGTCATCTAAGGTAACCATTAGCTGCGGGAATAGTAGATTCAAGTCAATTATATGTATGAAGGCTCGAACTGAGCAAGGAGATGGAACAAAGCAGGGTCACGTGGGGTGACATACTGGTGAGACGCTGTTGCCATCCGTGTTCAGCTGAATGGGAGAAACGTGCGCGTAGCATCGAATGACGAGTGACAAGCTGTCTAACTGCAGCGTGAAATTCATTTGCACTGGTTATTCGTGCGACCCGAAGATAGAATGATTGGTTAAAGTGGCCGTCTGTATTTGGCCGTTGGAAGTAGAGAGACTGGATCGGTGAAAGGTCGAAGTCTTCGTCGAAGTACTCCTCGTGGTCGTATGAAGAGCTTTCAACCTCTTTGACCGCAGTCGCCAGCTGGGTGATGGATCGACTTCGTAGAACATCTTGGACGCCAAGACTCAAACCGTCCTTGCGGCACTGACCAACGACCTGCATTGCAGAAATAGAGTCTCCGCCTAAGGATAGGAAGGACTGGTCGAGGGGGACATTAGATATGTTGAGGACGTGGGCCCAAATTGATTGGAGACATTGCTCCATCTGATTGTTCGCATGAGACGCCATTGCTGGTTGTGATTATGGAATACCTGAAAGACAATGAGTACAGTGCATAGAAACTGGACAGGTCATGGAAGCAGTTGACATCACGCCAGAAGCGAACAAGGTAATGCCTTGTATGCTTCACGTTTGGTAGGATACAGCAACAGGGATAAATGCGAAGGAGGATGAACCTACCAAGGCCTGTGGTACTGTATTCGACAACACTGCGAGTTAGCAAAACACTGGGATTAGAATTTCTTACTATGGGAGATGGGGAGAGGGGTCAGAGGAGGGGTATGTAAAGCGCAAGTATGGCGAGAAATGGCGAGCAAGGCAGGCTTGGAAGCAATCAATGGATATTCAAAGCATTCACGTCGAAAGGTCAATGACGGAAAATATGCAGCAGCCTCAGGCAGAACGCCCAGTTCGGCCGGTTCTTTTAGGAATTGCTATTGCCTCTGAATTGAGTCAAACGAGTGGTGCGACAGCCGCGGGGCTTGCGACTCCTGAACCGCCCCATCCCAGTCTGCAGGGCTGGGGTGAAGTGACTACTGGGTATTTTGGTCTATTGCAAGCCACACACACACTTGAGTAGCACACAATGCGAAGGCGAACAGCCGGTGCTTGCAGACAGAAAGGCACGCATGGTCGTCGAGCAGGGAGAAGCGCTAGATGCAAGGACCGTCGAGTGGTCATGGACATGTAGGGATGAAGCGATCGGCAACGTGACTTGCAGCCAAGTGGCCATCGTTGGATAGACTCGAAGGGAGGTGTGTTTCTTCTGGGGAAACATGGTGCACCGGATGTAGAGCGGCCCGGGGGCAAATCTCCCAACATGGAAAAGCAAAAAGTCTGCTGTCAAGTCGACAGCCAAGGGGGGCCGGGGCGGGCGCTGGCAGTTGAGTAGGCAGGTGCAAAGGAGTGACGTCGGCACTACGCCGGCAGCGGTGATATGACGGGAATCCTACGACGGCCGAGTTCATCCATATTGTGGCGTTGATGTATTGCAACGTGGTGGACGCAGCAGCTCGTGTTCGCGGTGGGGAAGAAGAACACGGATGGGAAAAGGTGAGGTTTGGAAGTGTGGGCGGCTAGTCGGATTGAGACTAGCGCTCAGCTGCAAGAAGCAAAGCCACGACCCGCTTATGTAAGTCAGTTCCCACAATAGACGGAAGGACGGAGGCTTTGCCAGGATGCCGGGGAGATCGACGTCCCCGCTGCCCAGCGTCTGGTTGGGCCTGGAGCGGCGTCGTATTGCTTCTGGCCACTCGACTGTGGACTTGACACTGCATACCAAGTCTGTAGTACGCCGAGACGAGGCTTCCTTTGGGGGCCATCTTGAATCCCTCCGGGGGCCAGCCGCCAGCTTCCACCGTCACCCAGCCGTGTCGCCATCCTCGCACTCGTACTGACATACCCCGCTTGACATCCCGCAGCCATTTCCGCCGCCGGTTCCGCCGTCGGAGACGCCCTCTCCGTTGCGTCTTCGCACGCCACCTCGTTCATTTGCACTTATGGCTGCAGATGGCGCCTCTACCAACGTCTGCGACAGGCGCCGTCTAGTTGCTTGTACAGGGACCGGCTTGCCCGTCCGGCGGGGTGTGCCGCTACTATCGCTGTAGTGGTGTCCACATAACGGCTAACGCACCCTCAGCTGCCGCTTCTCACTGGTCCGAGACACGGTCTGGGGCATCGTTCCCCTGTCTTCGCTGATCACTGGCCATCTGCCGGCTTCAGCCGCTGCATCCCAGAGATCCGGTCGCCTGTCTACCTACACTCTCTACCCCGTCCATTGCCCAACCGCTCGTCTACCTGCCACGGTCAGCACAGGTCACACCAGCGCCCAGCAAAATCCATATGCGGTGCACTCCAAACCATCCATGTCATGTCATGCCTGGGAACGCTGACGTATCACACCTTTCTCCTCAGGTTCCATGCCGGATTCCATCGCCTCGCCCTGTCCATGACCCCCATCCTTCGCCCTGGTAGCCAAGCGTCTTGACTCAAGTGCGGTCAAATTTGAAAAAACCTGGTCGCCGAATCTGAACATGATTTGGATTAGTCGGCCCTTCCAAGAATCCGAACATTCGCCTACACAAGGCCCAGTCTCTGGATATTAACTTACATACTTTCTGCGCAAGCCACATCCATTCCACCTAGTATGAAAACAGCACCGGATTGCTCGAGTCATCGTGGAGCATCTCTTCGAAATTGCCATTAAGGCCTGCCTCGGGCAATTCAAGGCGGCAAGATCTTCACTGCATCAATCACCGTTACACATGAAGTCACATTGCAAGCCAGTGAACGATCTTTACGACTGCGTTACCTCGCACTAGGAATCTTGCGTGAGACTCGTTGAGCATCATTTTGCGGGTCTCAGTGCCCACCGGTCCACATGCCCCTTTCACAGCCATGGCCATTCTGCTGGGGACTGATGCGAGCGCGTATCGCCCGCGCCCCATATCATTGTCTGCTGAGTGGCCGATCTGTCAGGTCACACGAAACATCTCTTCAATTCTCAAACAACATGAACTTCTAGAAGGAAAACTTGAACAGAACCATTGCTTTTCTCCAGCCACTGTTTGAACTGGCATACCGACGGTGGTGAGGTTTCAGGTTCCCCCTCCAACCATCTACATACGAACCCGACAACAGCCAGCGGCTGTGGCAGAATTAGCCTGTTTGCTAAATGGAGTCGTCTTAATCCCGGTATCAAACGTACGCTAACCTTTATTGTCGTCTCATGGGACCGTCGATCCACAAGCTCAGCCCTTCTTGGATGCATGGGATTGCAGATCCCGATGGACTATCCAACGAACCCAAGAGAAATTTGCAATCTCTGTCACAGCACAGGTGGCCAAATTTGTAGGATCTAGGCCGCAACATTACTCAGAACAGCCATCACTGCACAGCAGGAACAGCATGCAGAGACCAGGTGAAGCGAGGCGGCTCCTCTCTTCCGCCAACAATCCAACCCAAAATTGGAGGCCTATTTTCGTCGGCGAGTTACAGTTTGATGTGACAAAACCATGTTCCTCACACATACCTATAAGCCTCGAGGTTCAGAAAACGTTGCAAACACTGTTTTGATTGTTTTTTTCTTCGCATTACGGCAGAATTACTCAAATTAGTCCTGGTGGCAGACGGGAGCCACGGATAGATCGTTTGGCTCTAGCCTCCCGTGAACGATGGCGATAGATGTACACGCCAACGGAAATTGGTAAGCCTGCCGTCTTTTCCAGATGTCAGGGCAAATTAAGCGCGATCGTCATTCTGACGGCAGTAGTCCGGCAGCCATAAATCGTAAGCTCCCATCTGAGCCGTGCCAAGGCGACAGCGTGGTTGTGCAATTAGGGTTGAGGATTCCTTTCCCGGACCGCCATCAACTAGTGTTGGAACACGGGGCGATGGGGTAGCGTAGATCCTTGCTACAAATTCGGATGAGGAATGCAACTAAACCAAATGAATATGCACGTCCCTTGTCATCTTGTATGTCTTACCAACGTATTGAGCAAGCATGCACTGGCCCTGGACCAGGTTTCGGGACATGCTTCAACGCCTACGACTACCAAGCAGAGCATAGCAACTATGTGTGATGCCTGCGTCGGCGTGCATGATATCCACATTTGTGCTTTACGAAGTCGATCACAGCGAGGTATGCCGATCTTACACCATCTACGCGGGAATTTAGAGAAAAACTCAGCGTACTAGGGCCACGTAAAATTTATCGGCAGTCTCATAATGGCGAACAGGAGTGTCTGTGCGCCAGTGGAACATCGATGTTGTGGCATTGCAGAGCATTGGGCCTGTAGGTCCACATGCACACACTACCGCCGAGTCCAAGCCTTTCGTACTGGTGTGCAGACACATGGACGCCGATGAGGCAGGTAAATAAGGAAAGCAGCATTCTGCCACCGGCCCACTCAGCCTTCGTATCGGCAGAAACTCCTTTGAAGCATAAGGAGACGTCGGATTATCAATGCCCACATCCCATACTTTCTTACTTTCCTTAATGTTTCTCTCTAATTCCTGAGTAGCTCCCACCAGTCACAGTCATGCTCTCCAAGACATCGACTCCGAATGTGAACTGCACCTTGGTGGATAACACCTTCGGTCCTTATGCCGGGCCTTACTGTCGAGGGGGGTTCGATTTCACCCTCCTCTTCTCTGAGGTTTTTCTTTCAATTGTACCTCTATCTATACTCTTAGCTGTCGTTCCGTTCAGGTCTTTCTACCTGTGGCGAAGGCAGACAAAAGTCAAAAAGTCAACGCTATTGCACACAAAGCTGGTAAGATATACTCCACGATGTAATGACTGCGACTAACATATGTGTAACAGATAGGATGGGCCCTCTTCGCCGGCTTCGAGCTGGCCCTTCTGGTAATATGGGCAAGTCGCAAAGCTCATGTAAGGCCTGTTGGGCTAGCCTCCGCTACTGTCAGCTTTGCTGGGGCCTTATTGCTAGGCCTCTTCTCATATGTGGAACATATGCGCTCTATCAGGCCGTCACTCCTGCTTAACCTGTACCTTTTCTTCACATTCTTGTTCGACATCGAGCGTTCCCGCAGCTATGCATTGATGCCTGAATTAAGTCTTGTGGCTACTGTGTTCGCTACACGGCTTGCAGTGAAGCTATTTCTGGCTGTAGCGGAGTGTAAAGATAAACGAAGACACCTCCTTCCAGAACATGCCAACTGCCCCCCAGAGGCTACAAGTGGTATTTACAAACGTGCCTCGTTCTGGTGGCTAAACGAGTTATTCAAGAAGGGTTACTCCAATGCTTTGACTGTGGATGATCTCTTCCACTTGGATAAATATCTACGTGCAGACTACATGCACAATGTACTGGGTTCAGCATGGGCGCGATGTAAGTACATATCTAAATTTACTCTCGCTAAGCAGTTTACTGATCTTTTCTTCTCCCTTGAAGTGGAAAGTGCCAGCGCAAATGCTCTATTTACCACAACCGTGGGAAGGTTGAAGTGGTCGATCTTGGCAGTTGTCCCGCCTCGGCTCTGTCTGATTGGCTTCAACTTCTGTCAGCCATTCCTCATCAACAGAGCAGTCAAGTTCTCCCAGGAAACCTCAAACGTTCAACAAAGAAACATTGGATATGGACTCATTGGCGCTTACATCATCGTTTTCGTCGGCATCGCTGTATGTGCTCTTCTCAGATTAGAAATTCAGATGCTAATGCGAACATTACCTCTAGGTCTCCACAGGACAATACATGCATTTGACATTTCGCTTCATCACACAGATGCGTGGTGGCCTCGTCTCAATGTTGTACAGCAAAGCTACCGAGGTTGCTTTGAACGATGTTGACACGGCCTCTTCGATCACACTGATGAGCGCTGATGTGGAACGCATTGTCACTGGAATGGAAACTGGACACGAGGTAAGCAAACATGATGCATCACTCAGAACCGAGCGAGTAAACTAACTCTCAATCTCTTTGCAGATCTGGTCCAACACATTGGAAATTGGACTGGCCATGTACTTGCTGGAGCGACAACTGGGCGCAGCATGCGCTATACCCATTGGCATCGCGGTTTTGTCACTGCTCGGATCCATTGCTGCGACTAGCATGGTCATGCAGAGACAGGCACTTTGGCTTGAGGGCATCGAGAGGCGCATCGCTGCCACAAGTGCTATGCTCAGCTCCATGAAGGGAGTAAAGATGGGCGGTCTCACCGAAGTCCTTAGGGAAGATTTGCACAAGCTGCGAATTGATGAGCTCAATATCTCCAAGAAATTTCGAAAGCTACTTATCTGGACCATGGGTTTCAGTAAGCCATCATCTGATTCGACATATGCATCATCTACTAACCATGAGCAGCATACATCTCCCCCATTGCATCTCCCATTCTTGCGTTCGCAGTCTTTTCAGTGATCGCACAGAATAGTGGAGGCAAAAGCACACTTGATACTGCCACTGTCTTCACATCTCTGTCTCTGTTCACCCTTCTCACGGAGCCTCTCGGTTCGCTCATCATGGCTCTTTCGTCCCTCATGGGTGGTGTTGGATCATTCCAGCGAATTCAGGAGTTCATCTCACAAGCCCCACGCGCTGACCGCCGTGCATACACACCTCCCCATACATCCAGTGCTACATGGCTTTCAGAGGCAGGCAGTCTATTTGAGAAGGGATCCGTCGCTTCTCAAAAGAGCCGCTCTTCCACCGAGGTCAAAGAGTCCAACACATCCCAAGCAATCGTCATCGAAGACGGCTACTTTGGGTGGGATCCAGAAAAGCAGCCGGAAGGCACCCTGCAGCAGATCGACATGATTGTTCCACGAGGCAAAATTACCATGGTCGTGGGACCAGTAGGTTGTGGCAAATCAACCCTGCTTAAGGCTGTGCTAGGAGAACTGCCGGTCATGGGTGGTACCCTGCAAATGTCATCCCTGCGCATCGCCTTTTGTGACCAAAGCCCATGGCACACAAACGGAACTGTCCAGGAAAGCATCATCGGCGTATCGAATTTTGATCAACGTTGGTATTCGTCTGTTGTTCGAGCCTGCGCCTTGGATGACGACCTCGCACAGCTGCCCCAAGGTGACCAAACAGAGATCGGCAGCAATGGTATTGCGTTGAGTGGGGGCCAAAGCCAACGACTTGTGAGACAACCCCGCCTATCCTCCCCGCTTCTACACTTTAGCCAATACTAACGTATACACCCTGCAGGCCCTTGCAAGAGCAGTTTACGCACAAAAAGACATAATAATCCTCGACGATTGTCTCAGCGGTCTTGACGGCCAGACAGAGAACCGAATCTGGCACAGCCTATTTGGCAAGCGAGGATTACTAAGGCGTTGCAGGACGACTGTTCTCATATCTTCATCATCCGGTATGTGTCAATTTCTCTCTATTAAACATCAAGTCTTTCTAACTTTCACTCTGCAGCCAAGCGGGTTCCTTACTGTGATCATATCGTCTCTCTCAATCAAGATGGAAAGATTTCTGAACAAGGGCCTTTTGAAAAGTTGAAGAGGTCGGGCGGCTACGTATCAGGATTCGATCTTCCAAAGCCCGACTGGAACTACAGCCCAGAGAAACATATTTACGAGGCTCCCCCTAGGTACACCGAGCGTCAAACGGACAGCAGCAAGCTCATAGGTGATGAGAGTCAATCCGAAGCCAACCGCCGTATGGGTGACACTGCCATCTACCTTTATTACATTGGTTCAGTAGGATGGATTCCCACCTTGATCTTCATGTTTTCAATCATGATCTTCATTTTCGGCACTATTTTCCCTACCGTCTGGGTGAAGATGTGGGCAGATTATAATCAGGATCATCCAAACGAGCGCCTCGGTTATTGGTTGGGTATCTACTCGACTTTCGGTGGCTTGGCAATGATCTTTCTGATTGTGAGTTGTTGGCAGCTAATCATTACTATGGTTCCTCGCTCGGGT